TGCCCAGGAATGGCCAGCAGCAGCAGCACCTCGTCCGGCTCCCGTCAGGCCCAGCTGCATGCGGACCGCAGGGCCGACAGCGAGACCAGCGCGCCGAGTGGTCAATCGTGTACTTCCCCGCCGAAGTTATTGCGGGGGTGGCGCGGGCGGCGGCACCGCACACCGCACTGATGAGTGCTGCTGGGCTGGGTGGCACAGCAAGGCGATTCCGCACAGCGTTTTCTCGTGCCCTCTCACTCCCACCCAGTGGCGGTGTCCTCTGTGAGTGAGACAAGGAAGGTGGTACGAAAGCGCTGTGCGGAATCGCCCTGCAGGGTGATGCGACTAGGGGCACACAGCAGCATCTGTCCCCCTGCCGAGCACACTTCCGGAGCGCAGCTGCGGGTGGGAGGTGTAACAGCTACGTCAGGCCGTCGCGCCGCTCTGCCCGCTCTGCCTCTGCCGCTCCGCTCTTGAACTGCAGGAAGTCGCACGGCCCGTGCTGCACGTGCCAGTCAAGCCGGGCACTGGCCGGGGACGACTGCCAGTTGTTCCGGTGTTTCTTTAGTAATCTATGATCACTTTGACACAGCCCCTTTAATTTTCTTGTCAAATGTCGAGAAAACCCGTGACGACATCCCTGTACTAAAAAATTAGCCATAGTAGAGTCATCGTGACAAGAAATTTTTACAGTGTACGCTTCCAGTTAAGAAATTTGTCGTTTCCACGCTCAGCGCGCGCTCACGCTGGCGTGAGTGCGGAGGGCGAGAGGGGAAGCGCGGGGCGAAGCGGGGCAGTTTTTCCCCGCACCCTGCCCCTCGCCCGCCTCACGCCGGCGTGAGCGCGCGCTGCGCTAAGCGTGGAAACGACCAATTCTCAACTGGATATAGCACCCGGAGGGTGGTAGCTAACGCCCCCAACCTCCCCACCCCGCCACCGAGCCGAATATAGATCTGATTACGGCCACATTTCAACCAGCGGCTCTAGAAGCTCCTTGGGTTCCCCGAGCGTTAGCCGCTTAGCCAGGCGCCTGCGGAGGGGGCGCATGCAGGACGCGACTCGCGACGCGTGAGCCCCGCGGGGCTGACTACATTGCATACTTCTAGGCCGCAGGGGCATAGACACTGCAGCGTCCGCTTTGAGCATCCGCTATAATACGATGACTGTATGGGGGTGCACTGCACACGCATGTATCCCAGGTAGCAGAGCTGCATAAAATGTCAGGCGGATGGGTTTGCTTTTTCGCCAGGGGCGTTAAGGCATCATGGACAGTAGGCAAGCCCGCCCCCACGCCTGCATGCGGTACAGCATAGGCAATAAAATAGCAGCTGGGGTCAACGCGCCACCACGCGCCACTCTGTATATGTGTTGATTGTTTTCGTCGTTATAACATACATGTGGCAGAAAATTCACAGCAAATTTATTGTAACTAAATTCAAACAAAAAAATCCGAAAACCGCAAAATTTCAGCACTATTTGCGCAGCAAAACGCACCGTCGCGCCGCAGCTGGTAACTGGTTCAGGTACATGAGGAATCCGCAAGCTA